TTTTCTACGAAATGACCCCTGCTTGTACGTATGCGCCAGAGTAGATAATTCCACGCCACTGAATGTATCGTGTTGAAAGAAAGATCATGCCTCGTTTCAGCTCTGCTTGAGATTCCAGTTTGCCTTCCGATTTCTGAAGTCCAGACCTTATTGCATTGTTTATTGCCTGTCCCATCCCATTGACTGTACCATGGAATCACCCTTAGAGTGTCATCAAGAAAGACAGACCGTAAGTAGCCGAAATAAATAGATATCTTGCTTTCACTGCATTGTTTTCTCATTTCTGCAATCTGTTCCTTACATTTCTTGCATCGTGTCTTATGCTGTTGCTCCTGCTCTGTGTGCGATTTTGTATTTCCCTCTTGCTACTATGTTTATTTTATGTCTCGCACAATTCCTATTTCATTGCAAAAGGAAAATACGTCTTGACACCGAGAGTGATTAAAATGTGGGATTCGCAGCCAGAGGATGTTGTGATGGACACAGGAATAAACAGCTTTCAAAGCGGATTAGATAGATTCATGGAGGATAAGTCTACCAATGGTTACTAAGGGAAGAACCTCAGCAGGGTAATAATAATGCCGTAAAATCCACCCTCCAGAGCAGCCGTTTTCTCCAGGGGAACTGATCTCTGTAGCCTGAAGATCCTTTGTAATCCCATGAGATCTCCAAGCCACTGGTGACCGTTAACATGGTGGGTCACAAGGGAGGCTGATGTTGCCTGTGTTGGGCTAGGGTTGCCAAATCCCCCCCCCCGGTTTGCCAGGGGTCCTCCGTTTTGGGGGGGGGTTAAGCCCCACCCCCAACACCCACAGCCACCCATCTCTCTCCCTTTAAGTGTGTGGAACCCGTGTTTCCTCCCAAGCCCGATCTCCGCAAGCTTGCAGGGAAATGCCAGCTTCGTGCTCTTAAAAGGGAAACGCAGCTGCTCTTAAAGGGGAAATGCCGGCTCCTGCATTTAAAAGGGAAACGCCGGCTCCTTTAAGTGCAGGGAACTGCCATTTCTGGAGATCTGGTGCACGGGCAGGGGGGGGGCGACGTTTCCAACATGACGTCATCACCTGCACTCTGCAGGAGCGTAGCCGAAAGAGAGCCCTACAACATACCCGAAAGATGGTTGTCCAGACTCTGCTTGAAAATGTCCAGAGAAGGAGCACCCACCACCTCCCGAGGCAGTCTGTTGCACTGCTCAACCACTCTGACAGGAAGTTTCTCCTGATATTGAGCCGGTAAAGACTCCCTTGTCATTTCCACCCATTCGATCTAGTCTTGCAATCCAGAGCAAGAGAGATCTACTCCACCTTCCACATGACAGCCCTTCAAATACTTGAAGACTGCAATCCTGTCCCCTCTAAGCCTTCTCTTTCCCAGGCTAAACAGACCCAGCTCTTTCCGCCTTTCCTCATAAGACTTGGATTCCAGCCCTCTCACCATCCTGGTTGCCCTCTTCTGGACACGCTCGAGCTTGTCAACGTCCTTCCTAAAATGAGGTGCCCAAAACTGGACACAGGACTCCAGGTGAAGCCTGACCACAGCAGAATAGAGTGGAAATACCTGTGCCTTTGATTCTGTGCCTTTGATTCTTTTGTACCAAAGGGTAGGACTTTGCACTTCTCTCTATTGAAATTCATTTTATTTGTCTCAGCCCACTGTTCCAGGCTATCTACATCATTTTGAATCCTGACTCTGTCTTCGTCAGAATGAGCAATCCCACCCAGCTTCGTGTCATTTGCAGATTTGATGAGCATCCCCTCTATGTCTTCCTCCAGGTCATTTATAAAAACATTGAAAAACTCCGGGCCTAGGTCCGAGCCCTGCGGCACTCCACTCGAGACTTCCCTCCACGTAGACGCAGAGCCATTTACGAGCACTCGTTGCATACAATTTTCTCTGAGATGTGAGATATCTGTTGGCTGACTGGCCACACTGTTCCCTTACGTGACATTACCTCTGCAATAGGGTTGCCAGCCTCCAGGTGGGGCCTGGGGATCTCCTGCTTTTACAACTGATCTCCAGTCAGCAGAGATCAGCTCCCCTGGAGAAAATGGCTGCTTTGGAGGGTGGATTCCGTGGCATTGTACCATGCTGCGATCTCTCGCCTCCCCAAACCCCGCCCTCTCCTGGAACCACCCCCAAAGTCTCCAGGTGTTTTCCTACCCAGACCTGGCAACCCTACTCTGCAAACATGAGTTCTCTTTGCAACCTCCCATCCCCTAGCAACAAATTAGCTGGTGAGGGGGCTGCTTTGACTAAGCTGGGACTTTTGCAGTGCATTCCTTTTAAGGGCTGACTCCGCCTTTCCCGCAGGGGGTTGGACTAGATGACCTGCAAGTAGGGCTGCCAAGTCCCCCCAGTTCTATGATTCTATGATTCTATGATTCCTTCTTCCCTTATAGCTTGTCTGACCTCGCTCCTCTCACTTTGCTTCAGGGAAAGCTGAGGCACAGGAGGAGGAGGAGAGATTGGATTCATACCCCGCCCTTCACTACTCAAGGAGTCTCAGAGCGGCTTACAGTCTCCTTTCCCTTCTCCTCCCCACAACAGACACCCTGTGAGGTAGGCGGGGCTGAGAGAAAAGAAGAAGAAGAAGAGATTGGATTTATATCCCACCCTTCACTACCCAAAGGAGTCTCAGAGCAGCTTACAATTTCCCCCCACCACAATAGTGTCAAACCCTGCTATGCTACCCTCACTTGGGTTGCCATAGTTTTTTGGGGGAGGGCATTCCTGCAGATGGGGGTGAGTGTGTGAGGGAGTGAACGAGATCTTTGCTTTTAGAGGATGTAATTTTTCCTAACACAGGTGACTTTCTGGATCTTGCATACAACTCAATAAACTTTCACTGCCTAAAGAGAGTTGTTGACTGTGAGGTAGGTGGGGCTGAGAGAACTGCCCTTGAGAGAACAGCTCTGAGAGAACTTGTGGCTGACCCAAGGTCATACCAGCATCTGCATGTGGAGGAGTGGGGAAATCAAATCCGGTCCTCCCAGATTAGAGTCCACGCACTTAACCACTACACCAAACTGGCTCTAATAACACATTTCCTCTCTCAATTTTTGTATCAAGTGGCTGTGGGGAGGGTGTGTATGCAACTAGCCAACTTTCTCCAAGAAGCCCCAGAAATGCCACGCCAAATACAGATTAGGTTGGGAGTGAGTTTTCCCGTCACTGCTCCAAAGACTCCTGTTCCTTCTCAGGCAGCTTAATTCTCCCGGAATGTCTGCGCTTGAGAAACGTCCCTGTTTTTTTGCCTGGCATGAAGAACAGGCCTGCAATAAATTATTCTCTTTCTTCCTAGGAAGTCGATAGAAATCCCCAATGTCAGGCAGCGGCAAAGGAAGTGTGTCGCTCCGATTTATATCTCCACCCTCGGGCTCCATTAGGAGCTCTGATCAACCTGTTAATTGCCTCCTCAGCAGAGATCATTAATTTATTGGTCCTTTCGTAGCTGCCGGGTGGGGGGGGGGGGGTCTTTTTAGCTGCCGCAGCAGATGCAGAATCTGAGAGACTCAGTCGCTCCAAATGCAGGGGAGGCAGAAACTTTTATTGAAGTTGGTAAAGCAAGAAGCCCAAAATGTACACGGATGTGCGCACATCATAGAACACGGCGAAGCTGCTGTGAAGCTGGCTGCCCGCAGAAACCGCACGGGGCTCCTAAATGGACAGAGGCAAACACTGCTTGGAGACTGCCTGCCCTGGAAGAAGAAGAAGAAGAGATTGGATTTATACCCCCTGTCCTTCACTACCCAAAGGTGTTTCAGAGCGGCTTACAAACCCCTTTCCCTTCCCCTCCCCACAACAGACAACCTGCGAGGTAGAAGAAGAAGAAGAGATTGGATTTATACCTCGCCCTTCAGTACCCAAAGGAGTCTCAGAGCGGCTGACAAACTCCTTTCCCTTCCCCTCCCCACAACAGACACCCTGGGAGGTAGGTGGTGCTGAGAGAGCTCTTCACAGAAACGGCTCTTTTTTAAAGAACAGCTCTTATCAGAGCTATGGCTTGCCCAAGGTCATCCAGCCAGGTGCAAGTGGAGGAGTGGGGAATCAAACCCGGTTCTCTCAGATTAGAGTCCGCACACTTAACCACCACACCAAACTGGCTCTTGTGCTGGGCTGCTTGCGCGGGGGGGGGGGGGGGGGCGAGGCTCCACCCTGCTCTGGAACGGACCTTCCCGTCTTGCTCCTTCTGCACCGCTCCTTCTCGATTCACATCATGCAGAGAGCACAAGCAGATCCTGATGGAGAGAAAAAACAGAGAGGTTTTCTCTCGGCCGCCTCCCCTCCCATGTCTTTGGCTTTCTGTTTTTGCAGAACATCCTTCATCAGTGGATTCTGTACCTGCTTAGTTTCTGCACACATGAAGCTGCCTTATACTGACTCAGACCCTCGGTCCATCAGGCTCAGTCTTGTCTGCTCAGACTGACCGTGGCTCTCCAGGGTCTCTGGCAAAGAGGTCTTTCACATCACCTCCTACCTGGTCCTTTTCAACTGGAGATGCCGGGGATTGAACCTGGGACCTTCTGCATGAGCCACGGCCCCTTCCCATGGCTCTCCAGGGTCTCAGGCAAAGAGGTCTTTCCCATCACCTCCTGCCCGGTCCTTTTAACTGGAGATGCTGCCAGGGATTGAACCTGGGACCTTCTGCATGAGCCACGGCCCCTTCCCATGGCTCTCCAGGGTCTCAGGCTGAGGTCTTTCCCATCCCCTCCTGCCCGGTCCTTTTAACTGGAGATGCTGCCAGGGATTGAACCTGGGACCTTCTGCATGAGCCACGGCCCCTTCCCATGGCTCTCCAGGGTCTCAGGCTGAGGTCTTTCCCATCCCCTCCTGCCCGGTCCTTTTAACTGGAGATGCTGCCAGGGATTGAACCTGGGACCTTCTGCATGAGCCACGGCCCCTTCCCATGGCTCTCCAGGGTCTCAGGCAGAGGTCTTTCAGGAGTTTGTGATGGCAACCGGATGGAGGTGGAAACACTTACTTCAATGACATCAATGTCTGCATTGTTGAAGTCGATGTCCAGCAGTTTGGGGAGAGGGACGCCCCCTCCTAACACACCTGCAAGCAGAAAGAAGAAACTCTCTTGGGTTTCCAGACAAGTGGAGACCGGGGGGGGGTTCCTCTCCTCTGTTGTTGTGTTCCCTGCCACCAGTTTTCACCTCGTGCAGAGTCTGGGGTCTGGCTTGGGCAAAAGAATAGTTCAGGCATTTCCAGAGGGGCATGGAGAGTTCTTGTTAAGCTAGCAACATTTACAGCAGGGGTCCCCAGCAATCCTCCCTCTAAGCTATGGAATCCTGTGAGCAAAAATCTACTTTGTGAGCTCCTGGCATTAAAGTGGTGAGCAGGTGATTTGGCTGCTGCATCAATTAGTTTGCTCTGGAGCCCTCCTTCCTAAGCTAAGACAAAAATGTGTGAGCCAGAGGCTGAAAAACTGTGAGCTAGCTCACACCAACTCAGCTTAGAGGGAACACTGGCTCCCAGTCTTTTTTGAGCCTGAGGGCACCTTTGGAATTCCGACACAGGGTTAGGGGCGTAGCTACAAAATGGCTGCCATAAAATGGCTGCCGCATGAGGTGGAACCAATCATAAAATGTCCAGGAGTAAGGTTATACAGAACTTTAGTAGTAACTCTTCAACATTTCGATTCCATGTAACAAGTTGCCTTTTAAATTGAACATGTTCTTTAAAAAATATTTTCTTGCATACACCCGTACACACATAAGTATGTATTTTATTGTTGAATGTTTTATGGTAAACCACTCTGAGATCACATAGGAGAAGATGTGGTACAAAAAACCCGTAATAAATTAATAAATAAAAATAAATAACTATACATATTGAGCTATCTAAGAAACCTTCATCTGGCAGTATTTGTCTTTATTTTGAAGGCATCTAACCCGCCTATTCCCTTTACATGAATTGGGCAAAAGCGCCATCCACCCTTCCTGTTTTCTATAATCTCTTGGTGGGTGCCCGCGGGTGCCATGTTGTTAGGTGCCCGCGGGTGCCATGTAAGAAACCCCTGATTTATAATATGGGGTGGTGTGGTGGGAACGCCCCTAGGGCTTTAAAAATTTCCTTCCCATTTGATCTGCAACATTTTTCTGAAGTTGTAGCTCTGAGCTTTTTGTTTCATGAAATGCAAACCACAGGCCCGTTAACTCCCTTCTCCCTGCCATAACCATCCCATTTCAGGCCAAGGGCAGGGACTTCAGGGCAGAGCCTACTGATGCCGAACTCTAAACCGCAGTGGTTGGAAGGTCCTTCTTACTGTTCATTGCTGGAAGGAAGGCGATCTCAAAAATCTTGCCAACCAATCCCTCCAGGAGCGAAACCTGTGTCAACAAGAGAAGAGGTTGAGCATTCTCATCTTATCCAAGGGCAGTAAATATCTACAACTCCCCCCTCCCTCCCATCCCAGGGGGACTGGATTTAACAGCGCCTACATTTTAGAGCTGAGGGCGCTTTCAGTCAGTCTCAGCTGCAGACCCTCTGGGCTCTGAATTCTTGACTTTGCAGTGCACTCCAAGAATTACTGTTTGCTGCAAACTTCCCCTAGAATCCAGAAAAGTTTTTTTCTCGGCCTCAGGTAGAAATTTTGAGACTGCTGCTGAATCTTCCTTAGAGGTCAGACGTGCTTGCGAGGTGGACATAGATATTCTTAGAGACAACCAAAGGTGTTTCATTTCACGGGTCCCCAGCCTTTCCGAGCCTGACGGCACCTTTGGAATTCTTTTGACACAGCACGGTGGGCGCAGTCGCAAAATGGCTGCCACAAGAGGCAGAGCCAGCCACAAAATGGCTGCCGCAGCTTATCTTCAGTTGTACAGGAAAGATGGTTCTGCTGTACTGGCAGCTGCTGTCAAAGCAACATTTTCAACAATCTGCACAGCTGGAAAGGTGTCAATAGGCACTCTGATGCCCGTGGGCACCCCATCGGGGACCCCTGGTCTATCTGCATGCAGCAGATTTCTGGTGAAATCAATTCCTGGCGAAGAAGAAGAAGAAGAAGAAGAAGAAGAAGAAGAAGAAGAAGAAGAAGAAGAAGAAGAAGAAGAAGAAGAAGAAGAGGAGGAGGACGAGGAAGGAGGAGGAGGAGGAGATTGGATTTATACCCCGCCCTTCACTACCCAAAGGAGTCTCAGAGCGGCTTACAAACTCCTTTCCCTTCCCCTCCCCACAACAGACACTCTGGGAGGTAGAAGAAGAAGAAGAGATTGGATTTATATCCCACCCTTTACTACCCGAAGGAGTCTCAGAGCGGCTTACAAACTCCTTCCCCTTCCCCTCCCCACAACAGACACCCTGTGTCAGGTAGGTGGGACTAAGAGAGCTCTTTTTCAAGAACAGCTCTTATCAGAACTATGGCTTGCCCAAGGTCATCCAGCAGCTGCAAGTGGAGTGGGGAATCAAACTCGGTTCTCCCAGATTAGAGTCCGCGCACTTAAACACTACACCAAACTGGTTCTCCAGACAATCCAGAAGAAGAAGAAGAGGAGGAGTAGGAGATTGGATTTGTACCCCGCCCTTCAGTACACAAAGGAGTCTCAGAACGGCTCACAAACTCCTTTCCCTTCCCCTCCCCACAACAGACACCCTGTGAGGTAGGTGGGGCTGAGAGAGCTCTCTCGAGGACTGATCTTGAGAGAACAGCTCTGACAGAACTTGTGACCGACCGAAGCTGACATCAGCAGCTGCAAGTGGAGGAGTGGGGGAATCAAACCCGGTTATCCCAGATTAAGGTCTGCACTCTTAACCACTACACCAAACTGGCTGTGTGTGAACATATAGAGTGATGCATCTGCACAACTGACCACAGCTATCAGTTTCAATGTATCTCTCCCACATGCCAGTGATATGCTCAAACTCATTTATAACATTGATGAACAGAGTTCCATCAACATTCTTTTAACATAAGAACGTAAGCCAATGTTGGTTCAGGCCAATGGTCAATCTAGTCCAACACTCTGTCACACATTGGCCAAAAATACCAGGGGCCATCAGGAGGTCCACCAGTGGGGCCAGGACACTAGAAGCCCTCCCACTGTTGACCCCCCCCCCAAGCACCAAGAAGACAGAGCATCCCTTGCCCCAGAGTCCCTATCTATACCTTGTGGCTAAGAGCCACTGATGGACCTCTGCTCCATATGCTTATCTAATTCCCTTTTGAAGCCGTCCATGCTTGTAGCCGCCACCACCTCCTGTGGCAGTGAATTCCATGGGTAAACCACCCTTTGGGTGAAGAAGGACTTTCTTTTATCTGTTCTAACCTGACCGCTCAGCAATTTCATTCAGTGCCCACGAGTTCCAGTGGTGTTTTACCAGGACCACACACATGAGCAATCTGTAAGACACCACACAAACATGCAAAAGTCTCCGAATCTCCCTACGAGCTTATGCATACTGAGGTTACTTGTTTTGCAGCGCTGTATCAATCAGCATTTCTGCTTCACAAAGAAACGATTTGAAGGAACTGAAAGCCGTCCTCGAATCAACTGCAGAATTCATCTTTCATGGTTAAACTAGAATGATTGGATGAGGTGTGAAAAGCAGCGCAGACAGAAAATCCAGAACGGTAAAGGAACGGAAGGAGAGAGGTCTGCTACTTATCCCTAATTTTGCATTCTTACATCAAATTTCCCAAGGGACGAAGACGCCACGGTGATGTGCGTTCTGTGGAAACAAAAGGGAAGGTTCAAGGGAAGGAGAGTCAAACAGATCCAGCACTCGGCTGTTGACTAGCACTGCCTGGAGTGCTGGTCTATGACCGTAGCAAGCAATTAATTCCTTTATTATTTACTGTATTTTCCACTCCTTTAGCAAAGTACCCCGGGTGGCTTGCACAAAGTAAAACTTTAACAAACCACAAACCTTCTAGCCTCAGGCTAAAAATATAAAGAAGAAGAAGAGATTGGATTTATACCCCGCCCTTCACTACCCAAAGGAGTCTCAGAGCGGCTTACAAACTGCTTTCCCTTCCCCTCCCCACAACAGACACCCTGTGAGGTAGGCAGGGCCGAGAGAGCTCTGACAGAATCTTTTTCAAGAACAGCCCTGACAGAACTATGGCTTGCCCAGGGTCATCAAGCAGCTGTACGTGGAGGAGTGGGGAATCAAACCCAGTTCTCCCAGATTAGAGTCCGTGCACTTAACCACGACACCAAACTGGATTGGATTTATACTCCGCCCTTTACTACCCAAAGGAGTCTCAGAGCGGCTTCCAATCTCCTTTCCCTTCCCCTTCCCACAACAGACACCCTGTGAGGCAGGTGGGGCTGAGAGAGCTCCGACAGAAACTGCTCTTTTCCGAGAACAGCTCTTGTCAGAACTATGGCTTGCCCAAGGTCATCCAGCAGGTGCAAGTGGAGGAGTGGGGAATCAAACACCAAAGCTTCAAAGCCCACTGAAACATTAGCAAAATGCAGCAGTAAACTGATAAAAAAAACCAACAGTCCAGCCATCCGGCCCTGAAAACAATAAAAGCAAGAAAGACAAAGAAAGGAGTAATAAAAAATAAGGATACAATAATAATGCCTCCCCCAAAGCACGAGGCCCTCTGTCTCTGCCACCTAGGATGGCTACCCTTCAGGATGAGCCTGAAGCTCTGCCACCTCATCTCCGGACCACAGAGATCAGTTGCCTTGGAGAAAATGGCTGCTTTGGAGGGTGGACTCTGTGGCAGCACATGTCTGCTGAGCCCCCTCCTCAAACTCAAGCTCTGAACACCACCCTCCAATATCCAGGAACTTCCCAAGATGGAGTTGACAACCACGTCTGGACTGGCCTACGAGGGTCTGTGTGGATTCTAGGGCATTCCACCCCGTTGTGGTCCCTCCTTTCCCCCAAGCCCTGCCTTCCCCAGGTTCCACCTCCAACTCTCCAGCAATTTCCCAGCTCAGAGTTGGTAATCTGCACATTCTGATTCGCACTTCTCCTTGGCCAATGTGTGAAGCAAAGGATGAGGATCCGGGCTTTTTTTTTCTTCTGGAAAATGAGGCGCCGGAACTCTCAAGAGGAAAAGTCATTTTTAATAACTTTATTTTTAACATTTTCAAAAGAAACAATACAATCCAACTAGTATATTCTTATGTTTTACAAAACTGAGCTCCATTTCAACAACAAACTCCTTAAAAAATGAACGGTTAGGGTTAGGGTTAGGTTTGTCATTTCGGATTCTCAAGACTTCTGCATAATGTTTTGCAGTTATTGTATGTTTTGATACGTTATACTTGATCTTAATAAACATTTCAAAAATGAAAAAAAATTAACAGTTATCCAATAAGCTGGAACCTCTCAAAAGAATACAAAATCAACATATTTTGAAGGTAAGGCACTGCTTTTGTCTTTCTCATTTGCAATATATTCAAAAAATACAAACCATTTTTTTAACAAAGCATTCCTTCTTAGTAGGATTTTCTACTGATAACAATTGTGAAGCCAGTTTGTCCCACAACTTTAAGAACCACTGTTGTACGGTAGGGGTTTTGTCTGTTTTCCACATCTTTGCAAGCAATGTTTTAGCAACAATTAACATTAGTGAGATAAGTTCTTTCTTAGTAGAGGAAAACTGATTGCTTTCCCAATGATTAAGCAATATAGTCTCTGGCTTATTAGGTAGTGGTAATCCTAATATCACTTCCATTTTCAAAACTATGGAAGACCAACATTCCTGAACTCTTGGCCAGGACCACTAGCAGTGAAATAGGGATCACATTTGGCCTCAAACATTCTAGCACTTTGGGTCTTTTATAGATCCTGAATGATACAATTTTAGGGGTGTAATGTACCATTATAATTTTGTAATCTGATATTCAACAATTTAGTGACACATAGGGTGCGTTCAGATGCGCCGTTTCATCCGGCCTAAACTGCTCCGGTTGGAACCGTTGCTGTTTATGCCGGCTGAAACGCGATCACACTTACCTCCTGACTGTGGATCCTATCGCTGTATGCCCATTCACATGCAGCGGGCGTTGGCTTTTTTTAAAAAAACCTCAGTTTGAGCATGCGCATAGGCAGCCATCCACAGAATGGCGATCTTTGCACATGCGTAAAAAAAACCATCTTACATTGAAACTTTAAAGGTAAGGACTTACCTTTAAAGTTTAAAGACCAAACTGGCCTCCCTGAAGTCCCGGACTCCTCCAAAACGTTAGACTAAGGACCTTTTTTAAAAAAAAAACCAAACAAACGCCAGGACGAAGCTTCACCCAAGCGCATATCGCCGACTTTTTTTAAAAAAATGGTGGCCGAAAATCGGAAGCCTCAGGCTTCTGAACGGAAGTGGCTCTGCAACAGTGGAGAGCGATCAGACGGGGGTAAAGCAATTACAACCGTTGTACTCAGGATACCACCACATGGGGACCTAGTGGCAGAATACAACGGTGTAAAGCTCTTTGCAACGGTTAGGGACGGAAGGCAGATGTTCTACGTGTGAACGCCGGTAAGTACACTGATTACAACCGGCACCTATTCCGTTGCAAATGCCCCATCTGAACGCACCGATAGACTGGCTGACCATATTTTTCCCCATTGCTCTTGAGTTAAGGATATTTCGCAATCCTGGTGCCAGGCCTGTTGCCGCGCTGAGAATGTGTTCCACTGTTTACAGGCTAAGGCCTCGTACAATTTTGAAATTATTCCTTTTTGTTCTAAGCAACCTTTTCAAAAAGAATTTTGTCGAAGAGGTTCTGGACATTCCAGCGCATTCCCTTAGATAAAAGGCTCTGATGAGGATAAAGATTTGTATTGGGGGAGGAGGGGATCGTACTCACTTGTCAAGCTCGACGCCAATCTTCAGCTTGTTGTCTTCGACGGAAAACTTGGCCATCAAAGACGTGTCCTATCGTGAGAAAGGGGGAAACGTCTGCAATCAGGTCCAAGGGCGGACTGGGGAAGTTGCCAGTGGACCATTGCTGTCCAGGAACAAGCTGAGCCAGGCAACGGCAGTCGACACCAAACTGACAGCCCCCAGGCCTGGGTGGGGTGGAGTCCCCTGATTTCAGCGGCTTCCCCCCCCCCGCCACAGAGGAAACCCTGCCCCTAAACAGGAACGTTGCCACTCAACATCCCTGACCCAGACATCACAGTACTCACAATGCTTAGGACACAGAGGGATTGGTGAGCATCATTTGGCTTGGACGCCAACACTTCGGCAGTGGCGGTGAGATGGATGAGGCCTTTGTCTTTCTGCAGTTTCACTGTGGGGACATCAGCGACGGACACCTTCAGAATGAGAGACCGTGGCTCTGGGAACATCTGGAACACCTGTAGGTAGCCGTAAGGGAGGAAGGAAAAGAAGAAAAAGAGGAGGAGGAGGAGATTGGATTTATACCCCGCCCTTCACTACCCGAAGGAGTCTCAGAGTGGCTCACAATCTCCTTTCCCTTCCCCTCCCCACAACAGACACCCTTCTGAGGTAGGTGGGCCTGAGAGAGCTCTCTTGAGGACTGCTCTTGAGAGAACAGCTCTGAGAGAACTTGTGAGTGACCCAAGGTCACACCGGCAGCTGCATGTGGAGGTCTGAAGAATCAAACCCGGTTCTCCCAGATTAGAGTCCACGCTCTTAACCACTACACTGGCTACACCACTACACCAAACACAAAGCACATGGCATTGGCCCATATGGGCGGCCTGCTAAGCTTTGTCTCGCCAGCCACACCAAGCCAAGAGCTGTGGGCACCACGTTGGATCTCCGTCTCCATCCTGGCTGGGTTCTGCAACTGGGCCTTCATACTCCCCCAGCCCCAAGAGGATCAAATTGCTCAGATACAGGCTGTCTGGATTCTCGAGCTCCGGGCCCAGCCGTGCCCCACCTGAAGATCTCGCAGCAGGGCTTGTTGTCCATCTGTGTGGCACTTACTTGCAAAGTTCAGATGGCACCCACACTGAGCAGACTTACCGCTGGAATCAAAGCCCCAAGAGTTGACGTTGTCAATGGAGGAAGTTCAGGGAACTAGTGAAGAAAAAGGACACATGAACACTAGAAGCTGCCTTACACCGAATCAAACCATTCACCCATCAAGGTCAATATTGTCAACTCAGACTGGCAGTGGCTCTCCGGGGTCTCAGGCGGATGTCTTTCCTATCACCCACTGCCAGATCCTTTAACAGGCAATGCCCGGGACTGAGAATGGGCCCTTCTGCATGCCAAGCAGAGGCTCCGCCACTGAGCCACGGGTTCCTTCAAAAGTATCCACAGGAAGCTGCCTTATATTGAATCAGAACCTTGGTCCGTCAAAGTCAGTCTTGTCTACTCAGACCGGCAGTGGCTCTTCAGAACCTCAGGTAGAGATCTCTCACATCGCCTGCTGCCTAACCTGTTTAACTGGAGATGCTGCCAGGGATTGAACCTGGGCCCTTCTGCATGCCAAGCAGAGGCTCCGCCACTGAGCCACGGGTTCCTTCAAAAGTATCCACAGGAAGCTGCCTTATATTGAGTCAGACCCTTGGTCCGTCAAAGTCAGTCTTGTCTACTCAGACCGGCAGTGGCTCTTCAGAACCTCAGGTAGAGATCTCTCACATCGCCTGCTGCCTAACCTGTTTAACTGGAGATGCTGCCAGGGATTGAACCTGGGCCCTTCTGCATGCCAAGCAGAGGCTATTCCACTGAGCCACAGCCCCTTCCCATAGCTCTCCAGGGTCTCAGGCAGAGGTCTTTCCCCATCACCTACTGCCTGGTCCTTTTTAACTGGAGATGCCGGGGATTGAACCTGGGACCTTCTGCATGCCACGCAGAAGCTCTACCACTGAGCCATGGCCCCTCTTTACAGCTCCCCAGGGTCTCAGGCGGAGGTCTTTCCCATCACCTCCTGCCTGGTCCTTTTAACTGGAGATGCCGGGGATTGAACCTGGGACCTTCTGCATGCCAGGCAGAGGCTCTGCCACTGATCCACAGCCCCTCCCCAAAGAAGAGGGTCTGAAGAAGAAAACCAGCTATTTCATGGAATGTGCAAAGGATGCACGTGGGAAACCTAGCCCTTCGTAGGTTGTTCCTCAGCTTAATTCCAGCAGCGCAGGCTTTGTGTTACAGCAGGATAACACATGCTAGAAGTTCTCACACATGAGGCTGCCTTCTACTAAATCAGACCCTCAGTCCATCGAGGTCAGTATTGTCCACTCAGACTGGCAGCTGCTCTTCAGGGTCTCAGGTTACAGGTCTTTCACACCACCTACTGCCTGGTCCTTTTTAACTGGAGATGCCGGGGATTGAACCTGGGGCCTTCTGCATGCCAAGCTGATGCTCTGCCACTGTGCCACAATCATTCCCCTCACAGCCCCTTCCCAGCTTAATCTAAACCAGGATGTACCATAACTGAGACTGAGCCATTGAACCCCAGGACTGTGACCTGGGTCCTGTGCATCAAAAAACGCAAGTGCTTTTGAGCATATGATGAATGCTACCACACTTAGACACCACACAGGTGAGACTCGGAATCTCTCTTTCTAGTACTGAGGACAGGCTGGTGCTAAGCCATCATGCCTTGACTTCAGATACAAATCAAAGAATCATAGAATGTTAGAGTTTGAAGGGACCTTGCAGGTCATCTAGTCCAACCCCCTGCACTCTGCAGGAGCAGAGCCGAAATCAAAAGTGTCATTGCTAGAAGGAGGAGAAGGAGGAGGAGATTGGATTTAGACCCCAACCTGCCCTCAGAGTAGCTTACAATCTCCTTTCCCTTCCCCTCCCCACAATGGACACCCTGTGAGGTAGGCGGGGCTGAGAGAGCTCTTTCCAGAACTGCCCTTGAGAGAACAGCTCTTGTCAGAACTACGGCTTGCCCGAGGTCAATCCAGCAGCTGCAAGTGGAGGAGTGGGGGAATCAAACCCGGTTCTCCCAGATTAGAGTCCGCGCACTTCGCCACGACACCAGCCTTTCCCTGTCCTCCCGTCTCCCCCCTTCTTCCCGTCCTGAGTTCACAGGCCCCGCCCACAGCATGAGCTTTGCTACTCACCATCCCGTCAGAGATGTCGATGTCCAGGGCCCCTTGCTTCTGCAGGACAGCCAGCACTGAGCTGAGGAAGTTGACTGAGAGTCCCAGCTGGGAATTTGATGTATCAGCCATGGGGGGCATGGGGGGCATTGGAGGAGCCGGGCCCCTCGGCGGCATGGACACGGCTGCTGGCTTGCCCAAGGGGTAGTCAAGGAGGGGCCCAGCCACCTGCCCCACAACAGTCTAGAAGAAAGAGGGGGAGGTAATTAGAAGTTGCAAAGAATGCTGGGAGAAGACGTCCATCTTTGCCTCTAGCCTGTCTAGTGATAGGAGTCTAGTTTTGGGCAGGGTAATCCCACGATCCCCTACCTTTTTGACCCTGTGGGCACCTTTGGAATTCTGACACAGTGTCTCGGGCGCAACCACAAAAGTTATGAGATCCCTTCCCAGGGAAACCTGGAAGTGACATCAGTCCCCTCTAGGACTCACTGACAACTCTGTGGTTTTAGCATAGAGTTTCCAGTGATCCCTAAGGAGGACGAACGTCATTTTGAGCTTTCCCCCGAACGTGATGTCATGATGTCACCTATGGCAGCAACCCTCCCCCCACGTTCCTGGGCCCCATCTCAATGCTGGAAACAAGACAGAACTCCGGAAATCGGGGACTGGATAAAGAAATTACTATTTATGGTTGAAATGGACAAAATGACAAGGAAAGTTAAGAATCTTGAAGCAGAAGAATGTTATGCAGACTGGAAAGATTTTAAAGATTACTTAGAGAAATATTGGGATGTAAAGGACAATTTAATTTGCTTTGACAATTATTGAAAAGTTAATGTTATTAGAAGAAAGTTCATTATAAGAAAATAATAGTAGAAGGAAGTGTTACCGGTAGACTATGGTTGAAGGATAAGGGGGAAATAAAGAAAATTTAAGGAATGGGCTGGAGGTTGGAGGACTGTGGGAAGCCAGAGGGGGTGGGATAATGGGAGAAAGGATGTATAACAATTAGTAATATGATGTGTATTTGACTTAATAATATATCCTAATAAATTGTTTTGGGGAAGAAGAAGAAAAAGTGCCATGAGGCCAGCAGTTTTTTAAATGGCTCAATTGTCCCCTAAAGTGTTGTTGGTAACCAGGGGTGGCCGCCATCGCATCTAGTTTGGCCCTCAGGTTTATTACAGCACAGACTGGGATTCCCTGCCCTAGACAGTCCTTCGTGGATCGTCAGCTCATCCATCCTAACTGCATTGGCCCTGGTTCCCCCTTGCCTCGGAGTATCTGTTTTCATTCAATCTGGTATGCAGATTTTCCTGTGTCAGGACTTGCCTCAGCGGTCATTAGCTGCCTGAGTCAAGTAATTCATGTCAAGGTGATAAATACAGAGGGGGAAACAGGGGCGGGGAAACTGACAGAGATCAAATTGTCTGCGTATTGTTCCCTTCGAATCGGAAGCGGAGGAAGGAAAAGGTGCCACTCAAAACCACATTTGGATTCCCTGGGGCAACACTGCACTGACCGCGAAGTCACTCCTGACGGCCATAAATCTTTGCAGAAGATACCGTAAAACCGATGAGCGAAGAAAGTGAAAGTGGCATGCAGTGTGGAGGGAGATTAACCACCTCACGTGGCCGTGGAAAAACTGTGAGGAAACAGACGGGATCCGCCCTTGTCTGCCATTCCACACACACAAAGAACAACTGGTCTCCACTTAACCTCCCTCTCGGATTGTTTCAAGCCAAACAAGCCTAGAAAAGCTCAATTCAAACCTACCTCCTGCCGCCCTGGTAGAAGTTGGTTCATACCCATAGACACCCCAAATAACTCTTTTCTGGAGTCTTGCTTGTGACAGCCGGCGGTGACCCAGACCAAATAAAGTCTATCGAAGTGGCAAGACTCATATTTTCATTTTGGAGCAAAGACAAAAAATAAAAATAAAATTGGACTTACGTTTAAATCAATTTCCAAGAAGTGCCCCGTGACCAGCGGGAGACTGGAGACCGTGTATTGGACACTCCCCAAGATACCCAGCGGGACCAGAGCTGTACAGATGGAGACACAGAAATCAGGGCTTAGAGACTCTCTGGCTTTTCTTCTTTGCTCTCCCAACTCATGGAAACCAAGGGCAACTATGGGGTGCCCCCGAGTTCCGGCTGGCTCCCGAGTTGGCCACGCCCAGCAGGAACTCATTAGCATAATAGGCCACACCCAACAGCAGGAACTCATTAGGATTGGCTACATTAGGGGTGTGTGGCCTAACATGCAAAGGAGTTCCTGCTACAAAAAAAGGCCCTGGGTTTTGACAATAAACAAAGTAAACAGAATAAGAAGCAAAAGGTGGGTGTGGCTGGATGAGCACACTTCTGGTAACATGGGGTGTGTGGCCTATAATGCCAATGAGCTGTGGTGTCATGGGTGTGGCCTAATATGCTAATGAGTTCCTGCTGTTGGGTGTGGCCTATTATGCTAATGAGTTCCTGCTGGGCTTTTTCTACAAACAGAGCCCTGGTCCTTAGCCCTGAGGACAAGCTGTATGCAAATCAGGGATGCCAGCCTCCAGGTGGGACCTGGGGATCCCCTGGGATTACAGCTTATTTCCAGAAATCATTTTTCCCTGAAGAAAATGGCTGCTTTGGAGGGTGGGCTCTATGGCATGGTGCCCCACTATTCTCCCCAGGCTCCACCCCCAAATCTCCAGGAGTTTTCCAACCTGGATCTGGCAACCTGACCCCTCCCAATCCCCTACCAGTGGCCAGGTGGGACCTGGAAACCCTAATCCAAATGTTGACTTTTATGCCTAAAGTCACATGAGAAGAAGAAGAAGAAGAAGAAGAAGAAGAAGAAGAAGAAGAAGAAGAAGAAGAAAAAGAAGAAGAAAAAGAAGAGGGGAGGAGGAGGAGGAGGAGATTGGATTTATCCCCCACTCTTCACTACCCGAAGGAGTCTCAGAGCGGCTCACAAGCTCCTTTCCCTTCCCCCTCCCCACAACAGACACCCTGCGAGCAGTGTTCCCTCTAAGCTGAGAAAGTGTGAGCTAGCTCACAGTTCTTTAGCCTCCAGCTCACACATTTCTGTCTTCGCTCAGGAAGGACGGGGCTCCAGAGCAAACTAACTTATGCAGCAGCCAAATCGCTCGCTCACAACTTTAATGACAGTCGCTCACAAAGTAGGATTTTTGCTCACAAGACTCCACAGCTTAGAGGGAGCATTGCCTGTGAGGTAGGCGGGGCTGAGAGAGCTCCCTCGAGGACTGCTCCTGAGAGAACAGCTCTGAGAGATCTTGTGACTGACCCAAGGTCACACCAGCAACTGCATGTGGAGGAGTGGGGAATCAAACCCGGCTCTCCCAGGTTAGAGTCCGCGCTCCTAACCACTACACCAAACTGGCTCTGATAAGGGGCCTAGTTATGGTTGCCAACCTCCAGGTGGCACCTGGGGATCTCCTGCTATTATGCCTGATCTCTAGACAACCAAGATCAGTGGCCCTGGAGAAAATGACTGCTTTGGAGGGCGGACTCAGTGGCATTATACCCTGCTGAGGTCCCTCCCCGCCCCAAACCCCGCCCACTTTCAGCTCCACCCCCCAAATCTCCATGTACTTCCCAATCCAGAGCTGGCAACCCTGGGCCTGGTTGGTCTTTATCTGGGGTGGGTGGGGGGTCTCTATTTGTTATACCTTCCCCAAAACTACAGGCGACAAACAATTTTCATAACAGGAGGGCTGGAACGACCCTACTTTAATCAGTTGCCAACTCTGGGTTAGGAAATTCCTGGAGACTTAGGGGATGGCGCCAGGGGAGGGACATGGGTGGAGTGGAATACCATAGATCCCACCCTTGAAAGCTGCCACACACACCCCCCCCCCGAGGAACTGAACTCGGTTGTCTTGAGATGAGCTGGAATGCTGGGAGACCTCCAGGTAGCACCTGGGGGTTGGCAATCCTTACCCTCTCAGCCAGAATGCGATCGTCACCTTGTCATTGCCAACTATTTGGAAGAATAAATCGATGGAGCGCTTACAGTTCACAAGGCCCAGCTGATCGTTCACAAGGCCCAGGACCACGTCTAAGACGGGACAAAGCTGGGGAGGAGAAAAATCACCCTTCAAGTGGGACTTTCGTGGCAACAGATCAGGAGGCAGATTCACAAAACCCACAGAGCCCCCTGCCCGTCTCTGCCTGTCCCCCTTCCCCTTCCACCACTGCGTCAAGCCCCCTCCCCTTTCCATCCCCTCCCTGCCTTTTAAGCAAAGACCGTTGTGGGGAAGCCTCCCACCAAAATCATAGAATCATAGACTGGTAGAGTTGGAAGGGGCCTTGCAGGTCATCTAGTCCAACCCCCGGCACTCTGCAGGAGCATAGCCGAAAGAGAGCCCTACAACATACCCAAAAGAGGGTCAACCAGCCTCCGTTTGAAAATGTCCAACGAAGGAGCCTCCACCACCTCCCAAGGCAGTCTGTTCCATTGCTCAGCCACTCTTACAGTGAGGAAGTTTCTCCTGATATTTAGCCAGTAACGACTCCCTTGTCATTTCCACCCATTCGATCTAGTCTTGCGATCCGGAGCAAGAGATAATAGATCCGCTCCGTCTTCTACATGACAGCCCTTCAAATACTTGAAGACTGCAATCCTGTCCCCTCGAAGCCTTCTCTTTTTTAAATTGTGATTCCTTTGTAAATATGTATTACGTAACATATATGATCCTGCCAACCTAGCAGTTCAAAAGCAAGAAATTGCAAGTAGATAAATAGGTACCACTTCGGTGGGAAGGGAACAGCATTCCGTGCGCCTTGGTGTTTAGTCATGCCGGCCACATGACCACGGAAACGTCTTCGGACAGCGCTGGCTCTTTGGCTTGGAAACGGAGATGAGCACCGCAACCCTAGAGTTGGACGCGACTGGCTTTCGAGCAAGGGAACCTTTACCTTTACTTTTTAACATATATTAATGTTGGTTCAGTTTTCTTAATATCAACAACTAATTATGAATTGCGCTCAGTGTTCCCTCTAAGCTGAGTTAGGGTGAGCTAGCTCACGGTTTTTTGGCTTCCAGCTCACACATTTTTGACTTAGCTCAGGAAGGACGACTCCAGAGCAAACTAATTGATGCAGCAGCGAAATGGCTCGCTCACAACTTTGATGCCAGTAGCTCACAAAGTTGAATTTTTGCGCACAAGACTCCACAGCTTAGAGTGAGCATTTGCACTCTGTACATGCTCTGGGAAATTGTCCTGTGTTTTATCATTTTTTTTTAAAAAATCATGTATCGAATATAACCTGTTTTTTATTATTGTATTAGATCCCCCCTTCAGAGGACTTCAGAGGACGGCGGAAGACCGGAAGGCCTGGCATGATATGGTCCATGGGGTCGCAAAGAGTCGGACTCAACTGTGCGACTGAACAACAACAACAACAAGATCCCCCCTGAGGAAGCTGCATGCAAAACACTTAGGGGTTGTATAATTATTAAAGATTCCATTGCCCTCTACACCAATTTGTTCCTTCTTCTTCATCCGGCTGCAGTCTCGTCACTTACCAGTTCTGGGAGAAGTCTGCTAAGAACCCGAGCCAGTAGATTATCCACAATTGGAAGCAGGCTGGGGAGAAAAGACAGAACAATTTTTAAAATGCTGCAGAGGGTAGGGGTCCCAAATCCCCCCGGGGGGCGGAATTCCCCCCAGTTTTGAGCCCCGATTCCCGCTCCCACGGAATTGGGGCCCGGGGGAAACCCCAGCCCTGCGCGTGCGTCACCCGGAAGTGATGTCACACGCTGGGGGCGGGGCGACGCCATTTGAGGGGGAAACAAAGAGTTTTCCCCTCAAATGGCAGCCATTTGAGGGGAAAACTCTTTGTTTTCCCCTCAAATTTTTTTAATCGCAAAAGAGTTGCTGCGGGAGGTGGAGCCAACCACAACATGGCTGCTGTGGGAGCTGGAGCCAACCACGAAATGGCTGCTGTGGGAGGTGGAGTCAACCACAAAACGGCTGCTGCAAGAGCTGGCGCCAACCACGAAATGGCTGCTGTGGGAGGTGGAGTCAACCACAAAATGGCTGCTGCAGGAGGCAGAGTCAACCACAAAATGGCTGCTGCAGGAGGCAGAGTCAACCACAAAATGGCTGCTGCATGAGGGGGAGTGAGCCACAAAATGGCTGCTGCAGGAGGCGGAGTCAACCACAAAATGGCTGCTGCAGGAGGCAGAGTCAACCACAAAATGGCTGCTGCAGGAGGCGGAGTGAGCCACAAAATAGCTGCTGCAGGAGGCGGAGTCAACCACAAAATGGCTCCTGCAGGAGGCGGAGTGACCCACAAAAATGGCTGCTGCAGGAGGTACAACAAGCCACAAAATGTCACAGAGTAAGGACACACCTAAGTCGACTAGTAACTCTTCAACATTTCAGGCAGCCGCTCTTTTAAATATTATTTTAAAATATTTTATTTTATTTACTTTGTTTATATCCTGCCTTTCTCCCCAGTGGGGACCCAAAGCGACTTACATCCTCCTCCTCTCCTCCATTTTACCCTCACAACAACCCTGTGAGGTAGGACAGGCTGAGAGAAGGTGACTGGCCCAAGGTCACTCATGGGAGAGTGGCGATTCGAACCTGGCTCTCCCAGATCCTAGTCCAGCACTCTAACCACAACACCACACTTCTTGTACACACACAGCTTAAATTCAGTCACATGGTAAAGCTCTTTGAGCTTCGGTGGCAGCTACAGCCAAAGCATTTTTTTTTAAAAAAACTGCTCAGCCAATCAGAAGCCCCACTTGGCCCCACCCACTTTCTAAAAACATTTGAAGGGCACCAGGAAAGGAGTTGGCAGGTGGCTTGGCACCCACGGGCACCCTGTTGGAGACCTCTGCTCTAAACTGTCCCAGGGCTATCATTTGCATTGCAGAATGGGTTGAGTGTATCGGACATTTTTAAAGGATTGAGTCAAAGAATGCTAGGCCTTCTTGAGCCAATCCGGTATGCCCATAACACTTCAGGGAATGGGACCCAGTTTCCGCTGGCCCACGTATAAAACTCTGCTGGGCCAGCACTCACCCTCTGAGAAGTCGGATCTTGATCCCTCCGAGAAGGGTATCGCAGTGGTCGATCACCAGCTTGGGGTAGCCGGTGCCATCCATTGTCAGCCGAACGATCGCGGTGACGTTTACTTCCACTCCGACGTCGAGCAGCCCAAGGAGACTGCGGGAGAAGGAGAGGGCGCAATCTAGTTTTGCCAGTCTCAAGGTGGGTAGTACAAGAACTGAGGGTCACAGTGTTAGGAAGATATCGACAAATATATATCAGGCAGCCGCGACATAGCTCTCAAGTTCAATCGGGCAGCTGCAACATATCTCTCAAGTTCTATCAGGCAGCTGCAACATATCTCTCAAGTTCTATCGGGCAGCTGCAACATATCTCTCAAGTTCTATCGGGCAGCTGCAACATGTCTCTCAAGTTCTATCGGGCAGCCGCGACATGTCTCTCAAGTTCTATCGGGCAGCCGCGACATAGCTCTCAAGTTCTATCGGGCAGCTGCAACATATCTCTCAAGTTCTATCGGGCAGCTGCAACATATCTCTCAAGTTCTATCGGGCAGCTGCAACATGTCTCTCAAGTTCTATCGGGCAGCTGCAACATATCTCTCAAGTTCTATCGGGCAGCTGCAACATATCTCTCAAGTTCTATCGGGCAGCCGCGACATGTCTCTCAAGTTCTATCGGGCAGCCGCAACATATCTCTCAAGTTCTGAACTGGCAGAGACTGAGCAAGAGAGAGATCTTGGAGTTGTAGTGGATAACTCACTGAAAATGTCGAGACAGTGTGTGACTGCAATAAAGAAGGCCAATGCTATGCTGGGGATTATTAGGAAGGGTATTGAAAACAGATCAGCCAATATAATAATGCCCCTATATAAATCAATGGTGAGACCTCATTTGGAATACTGTGTGCAGTTCTGGGCACCACACCTTAAAAAGGATATTATAGCTTTGGAAAAAGTGCAGAAAAGGGCAACTCGAATGATAAAAGGGTTGGAACACTTTCCCTATGAGGAAAGGTTAAAGCGCTTAGGGCTCTTTAGCTTGGAGAAAAGACGACTGAGGGGTGACATGATCGAGGTTTATAAGATTATGCATGGGAAAGAGCAGGTAAAGAAAGAGGTACTTTTCTCCCTTTCTCACAATACGAGAACTCGTGGGCACTCCATGAAACTGCAGAGCGGTCGGGTTAGAACGGATAAAAGGAAGTACTTCTTCACCCAAAGAGCGATTAACACATGGAATTCACTGCCACAGGAAGTGGTGGGCGCTACAAGCATGGACGGCTTCAAAAGGGAATTAGATAAGCATATGGAGCAGAGGTCCATCAGTGGCTATTAGCCACAAGGTATAGGTAGGGGCTCTGGGGCAAGTGATGCTCTGTCTTCTTGGTGCTTGGGGGGGGGGTCAACAGTGGGAGGGCTTCTAATGTCCTGGCCCCACTGCTGGACCTCCTGATGGCACTGGGATTTCTGGCCACTGTGTGACACAGAGTGTTGGACTGGATGGGCCTTTGGCCTGATCCAACATTGGCGTCTCTTATGTTCTTATGTTCTTATGTTCTATCGGGCAGCTGCAACATATCTCTCAAGTTCCATCGGGCAGCCGCAAGATAGAACTTGAGAGATATATGTTCTCCTAAATAAGTTGTTATGTTTGCCTCAAGGGTTCCGATGGGACCGTAGAAAATATGCTGCTATCTTAAGAGTTTTATACTCACAAAGAGAATCTATTGCACCTTACGTCCTGTACGTACACCACTGTCCTTGAAAAAGATTGTATTCCATAGGGGTAAATTACTTGAGTCCCCTGGGACTAGTCGATGTGAACCTGACACGGTGCTGTTTGAATGTCTGAACATAATGTAAACCTGCCCTTTGATGTATTACTTTGGCGAACCTATGTTTGGTAATACTTGACACCAACATCTATACTAATACTATAGGGGAAAAAATAAAAATGAAAAGCACAAAATAGATCTACCCTAAACATATATCTATTATACACAGTATCATATATATTTTTACAACGTTAAGATTGTATAAATGACGTTTAATACATTAGGAAGGGAATAACTTCAGCATATGATGATCTAACCACTTCTGACTGTAAGTGCCAAAAAATCAGAATTCATCGGGAACTAGAACAGAAGAAACAATTTATTTATTTATTTATTTATTTTTGGATTTATATCCTGCCCCCCCCCAAAAAAAAAGGCTCAGGGCGGCTAACAACAGGGCATGAAAGCCAGAGTTAAAACAATAAAAACAGAATAAAACAGTATAATACAATACCATACGCTAAAATCTTGGTGCTCTAAAGGTCACATAGTTCATTAATGGCAAGATGGGGCTCTGGCGTTATTTATACCAGACCAACAACATGCATCCCAACAGCGCATACATCATCCAGGAACGTCTCGCACCCAATGATGCCCATACAAGTGGTGGTAAAGGTGCGGTGGTGGAAGATAACGGTGTTGGAATAGTGGTGGAGGAATAGTTATTATAATTAAGAAGTACAACCTGCAAATTCTGTCCGTATCTTATCTAGAATAAGAGACTATTTTTCAGACATTCCAGTGTGATACAATGTATTTTCTGAGTCCGTAATACTATCAGAGACTTTCTCAAGATTACAATATTCTCTGAGTTCGTTGTGCCAGTTCTGTATATTAGGGACAATTTTGTACTTCTTCACCCAAAGAGTGATTAACACATGGAATACACTGCCACAGGAGGTGGTGGCGGCTACAAGCATGGACAGCTTCAAGATAGAATTAGATAAGCATATGGAGCAGAGGTCCATTGGTGGCTATCAGCCACAAGGTATAGATAGGATCTCTCAGTCTGGGGCAAGTGATGCTCTGTATTCTTGGGGGCAACAGTGGGAGGGCTTCTAGTGTCCTGGCCCCACTGCGGGACCTCCTGATGGCACCTGGTATTTTTGGCCACTGTGTGACACAGAGTGTTGGACTAGATTGGCCATTGGCCTCATCCAACATTGCCTTCTCTTATGTTCTTATGTCTGGGGCAAGGGATGCTCTGTATTCTTGGTGCTTGGGGGGGCTCCTAGTGGGAGGGCTTCTAGTGTCCTGGCCCCACTGCTGGGCCTCCTGACGGCTCCTGGTATTTTTGGCCACTGTGTGACAGAGAGTTGGGCTAGATTGGCTATTGGCCTCATCCAACATTGGCTTCTCTTATGTTCTTATGTCTGGGGCAAGGGATGCTCTGTATTCTTGGTGCTTGGGGGGGGGGCAACAGTGGGAGGGCTCCTAGTGTTCTGGCCCCACTGCTGGACCTCCTGATGGCACCTGGTATTTTTGACTGTGTGACAGAGTGTTGGACTAGATTGGCTATTGGCCTCATCCAACATTGCCTTCTCTTATGTTCTTATGTCTGGTGCAAGTGAGGCTCTGTCTTCTTGGTGCTTGGGAGGGGGGCAACAGTGGGAGGGCTCCTAGTGTTTTAGCTCCACTGCTGGACCTCCTGATGGCCCCTGGTGTTTTTGGCCACTGTGTGACGCAGAGTGTCGGGCTGGAGGGTTCACTGGCCTGATCCAACATTGGCGTCTCTGATGTTCTTATGTTCTTTCCAACATACAGCTTTAAGACATTTAGCAAGTGTTAACATTATCATAAGCAATCCTTTACATGGTTTAAGGATTCTTGGAATATCCCATAAGTTAAGGAGAATAGTTTCTGGAGTTTTTGGAATGTCTCCCAGAATTACAACTGACCTCCAAGTGACAGAGATCAGGAGCCCTGGAGAAAATGGCTGCTTTGGAGGGTGGACTCTGTGGCATTATGGCTCACTGAGGCCCCTCCCCTTCCCTAAACCCCACCCTCCCCAGGCTCTACCCCCCAAATCTCCAGGTACTTCTCAACCCAGAGTTGTCAATCATAGCACAATATGAGCTGTTGTAGAGTCTACAAAGGTTTACTCAGGGCATGAGCTTTCGTGTACAAGGCACACTTTTTCAAATACATTGGAATGGTAGGTAAGGTTCAGACTTATAGACAGGGACGTAACAGCAAATTAACATGTCACATGATGCCCCAAAGTCTTTCAGGTGCTCCTAGACGCTTGCTCTTTTCTGCTGCTACAAACAGGCTAACACATAACATAACAGAAGCCATGTTGGATCAGACCAATGGCCCATCTAGTCCAACACTCTGTGTCATACAGTGGCTAAAACCCAAGTGCCATCAGGAGGTCCACCAGCAAGGACAGAACTCGAGAAGGCCTCCCACTGTTGCCCCCCAAGCACCAAGAATACAGAGCATCACTGCCCCAGACATAGTGTTCCATCTATTTTGTTGGTGTTCAGTCGCACAGTTGAGTCCAACTCTTTGCGACCCCATGGACACATTGTGGCTAATGGCCATTCATGGACCTCTGTTCTATATGTTTATCCAATCCATATGATTATCCAGTTTAATGGCTTGTTTTGTTATGTTGTTTTAATTGTAAGCTACCCCAAGCAAAACTCTGAAGAGGTTGCCTAGAAATATCCTAAATAAAGACTTTATTATTTAACAACACCAGTGAGTGACTGGTATATCTCTTATAGAAGAATAAAGAACTGACAGATAACTTCAAAGTACAGAAAGGAACAAGGCAAGGTTGTCCGTTATCACCGTTATTATTTATCTGGGTATTGGAAATACTTTTACAAAAAATACAGTACGATCAAGAAATAAAGGGCTTGACACATAAAGGACACCAATACAAATATCGAGCATTTGCAGACGATGTAATGTTTATAGTGGAGAACCCAACAGAAAAATTGACATTGCTTTTTCAAAAAATAAAGGAGTTTGGAGAATTGGCCGGCTTTTACGTAAATAAGAATAAAACAAAACTTATATGTAAAAACATGATCAAACAAAAACAAGTGGAACTACAAGAACTGGTACAATGTGAAGTAGTTAAAAAAACAAAATACCTTGGAATTGAATTAACGGCAAAAAATATAGACCTATATAAGAATAATTATGAGAAATTATGGATTAAGCTGACTCAAGACTTTAAGAAATGGGAGAAAATGAACTTATCACTGATGGGAAGAATAGCAGTTATAAAAATGAATGTCCTACCACGTTTGATGTTCCTGTTCCAAACAATACCAATTCTGCATAAAACGGATTTGTTGGCCAAGTGGCAACAAGAGTTGTCAAAATTTGTTTGGGCAGGCAAGAAACCAAGGATCAAAATGAAAATACTTTGTGATGCCAAAGAAAGAGGAGGTCTACAAATGCCAAATCTTAGACTATATTATGAAGCGGTTTGTCTAACATGGATGGATCAATGGGTGAAGCTTGAAAATGACAGATTGTTGGGGTTGGAAGGGCATGATTGTAGATTTGGCTGGCATGCATATTTATGGTATGACAAGATAAAAATGGACAGTTTTTTTAAACTTCACTTGGTGAGAAAAGCTTTGTATATGGTATGGACAAGATATAAGAAGTACCAGAGTGACTTAAGACCATTGTGGATTGTACCAGTAAAGCGATTTTCAGAGCTGGGGAGAAAGTGATTTTATATTGAAAATAAAACGTTAAAATGGAGGACACTCCAAAAAAGTTGGCAGAAACAACTCCGAGAAGAAGGGAAGTAGATGTTATTGCACTTATAGCGGAAGCCACCAAGCCGATTCTGGAGCAACTTGTTGGTATTAACCGTCAGCTTGCCAAGATAAATCAACAATTTGTGTCCCGGCAGCTCCAGTTGGCAACGATAGTAGAAAAAATGGAATTGGGGGCTTTTAAAGCGAAAGAAATTGACACTAAATTAAACAGCGATTTCAATGAGAAAAGGAGGAAAAGTACAAGAGAAACAGGAAAGATTTACAAGGACTTAATTCCTTCCTTGCAAGTGTTCTCAGAAAGTGTCACCTTAAATCCTGCTGAGAGAAAAGAGCTTGAATTCGCCTTCACAATCAAGAAACTTTTGAGGTGCCACTGGGCCCCGAGGGCGAGACCAGAGAGGAAGAGGCTCAAGATTGGCAGTTTTATCCCTTTGAAGATGGAGGAAGACTGGGCTGAAGAATCTGGAGTGAACGTCTAAGAAGTTATTAAAATTTTAGAGAGTCTTAGTGTAGATGTAAAGGCGGAAGGACTCTGAAAATTGCCTTTTTGAAGCAAGCTGGAGGAAATGCTCGGGAAATCTTCTCATAACAAGTAACAAACAAACTAACATATAAGCTTAGAAAGACAGGTTCTCACAAAGTATATTGTTTATTAACAGCTTTTCTTTTTTTTTATTACTAACAGAAGCTTAACAGGGAATGATCTCCTAACCTTGGGTATTTAGTGTAGTGTGAGTTGCTTTTCTTTCTCCCTAGTTCTAGTTACCCTTTTTCCTATTTTTTCTGGGTAGTTTTTGTAGTATTAAAAAAATAAAAAAATCCCCTCCTGGGGCTTAAAAAAAAAAAAGCAGGTGCAAGTGGAGGAGTGGGGAATCAAACCCCATTCTCCCAGTCCGCACACTTAACCACGACACCAAACTGGCTCTCATTATAGGGTTAATAGGCTAAGCCTGGCAACTGGCAGGAGGGCTGGGGCAAGGGACATGGGGGATAGGCAAGACATAGCTAACATACAGCTTGGAAGTGACAAAGGGTAGCTGTAGGAATTTCTGGAAGCTCTATGATTCCTAGAGCTGCCCACTATTTCTTCCAGGTTGTACTCAGAAGTGATGTTAAAAAAAAAATAATTCCTGCAGCTGCTCCGAGAGTCAGTGGGCAATGGAGCTGCCAGCAGGAGCCCTCCCATCTTGATCTGTCATCATGATACATGAACACGGTGCTACTCAAAGAATGCTGTACTGGGAGTAGGTCCCATTGAATACGCCTGAGTAGGATCCTGAGTAGACTTGCTCAGGGTTACTTCCGAAACGATGCAACAATTACGTAGCAGGGTCCCAGTGTCAGCAAGCTAAACATGGTAGTCTGGACCACAGTCCCCAATAACTGAACTAACTAACTTTGTGAATCATCTGCTCTGTTGCCTACGTAGAAAAACCCTCTTGCAGTGGCCAAGTATTGTCTGGGTTTGATTTCCGGGATCATGTCACTTCCCTGCTGAAGGATCGGCACTGGCTGCCCATTTGTTTCTGGGCATGGTTCAGAGAGCTGGCTCTTATCTTTAAGGCCCTACACTGTGTGGGGCTCAGGTATCCTGAAGGACCATCTCCTTCTCCTCCCATTCTGCCCAACCTCCCCTGTGGAGGGGCCATGGCTCAATGGCTGAGCACCTGCTTGGCATGCAGTAAGTCCCAGGTTCAATCCCCAGCATCTCCAGCTAAAATGGGCCAGGCAATAGTTGAAGTGGAAGTCCTTTGCCTGAGACCATGGAGAGCCATGGAGAGGGGCTGTGGCTCAGTGGCAGAGCCTCAGCTTGGCATGCAGAAGGTCCTGGGTTCAATCCCCGGCATCTCCAGCTAAAAGGACCAGGCAGGAGGTGATGGGGAAAGACCTCCGCCTGAGACCCTGGAGAGCTGCTGCCAGTCTTGAGTAGATAATTCTGACCTTGATGGACCAAGGGTCCAATTCAGTAGAAGCCAGCTTTGTGTGTGATCTTCTTCCTGTGTGTAAGATCCACCTCCAAACCCTGTTCATTCTGCCTGTTGAGGTGGGTGGCAGCCAGAGACAGGGCTTTTTCAGTGGTTGCACCTCTCTTTTAGAACACCCTCCCCCTTGGGCCTCACCTGGTGCCTACCTTGATGTCTTTTAGGAGCCAGGCCAAAACATTTACTTTTTACCCAGGCATTGTAGGTGCTTTATGGTCTGCATTTCAGCAGCTCAGTTATTATCGACTGCTCCTGTGCAGGGCTCCCCAACCCTCCCCCCCTTTTATAATATAATTTTTATTTTTACAAACATACAAACAAGAAAAGAGAATCCTGTCCAACCTCTTTGAGCCTGCAGGCACCTTTAGAATTCTGGCACGGTGTGATGGACGCGGCCAGAAGGGACCGCCTTTCCCCATGTATTCCCCAGAGAGCACTGCATTTAGGGGCCCAATATTGGCTGGCCCTCCCAGGCCCCAAAGATGCCAGGCCGGCGACTACCAGGGCCAGGACCTTCTCGGTGGTGGCTCCATACTGGTGGAAGGAGCTCCCGGAGGAGATCAGGGCCCTGCGGGACCTTTTACAGTTCCACAGGGCCTGCAAGACAGAGCTCTTCCGCCAGGCCGCCGATTAAGGACCCGCGCTATACACCGAGGAGTGTCCCTGTGCCTTGGCTTTACCATCCTTATTCCAGCCTGTGCTTGGCTTATCACCTGACCGCTGCGTAATAGTTGGAGAACGGAGGTAGTGTGAGCATCACTGGAATATATGATTCCCAAGCCGTTTTATAAATAATCTCGCTCTCATCAACTCTATTTCAATGTTTTGTTAATATGTTTCAATGTTTTATGAGGATTTTAAATGATTATTTATATTATGTTTATGATATTATTATGTATTTGTGTGAGCCGCCCTGAGCCTGTCTTGGCAGGGAGGGTGGGATATAAACTGAATAAGAGAGAGAGAGAGAGAGAGAGAGAGAGAGAGGGAGA